TCAGGCTGGTTTCGAACTCCTGAGCTCAAACAATCCACCCGCCTTGGCCTCCCAGAGTGCTAGGATTACAGGCGTGAGCCACCGCGCCCGGCCTACTTCTTTTTCTTGTTTAATAAAAAAACTTTTTTGAAAATGGGTATTGTTATTCACCATCTATGTTTCCTGTTATTTCCTTTAAGCTGACTCTACTTTGCCTCTGTGCGTGTGTGTCTGCATCATGTGCTATTTTAAAATAACACCAATATATTTCAGAAGTAACCTTTTTAAATAAACTTAGTGTAGAAAATAAGTTAATGAAATAATTTAACTTTTTAACCATGTGTCTCTAATAATAGACACTGAAACATCAGTGAAAGAAGAATTTCAACTATTTGGGCTTGGAAATATATTAGCTTGATAATTTAGTCATTTACTTAGCCACAAATCCAACAACCTATTTATATCTCTCTGGGCATAATCTACTCATTGATAGTGTTTTTACCAGCTGCTTCATCTTCCACCTTTCTCTTCTTTACTCTGTTCCAGCTGCCATCATGGACTTCTTACTGTTTCCCTAACGTTCCAAGCACATTTCTCTCTCAGTACTTCTGCTAATACTGCTAGATCTGTATGTCCTCATATCTTTCTTAGACTCCCTCCCTCAGTATATTCAAGTCTTTGTTTAAATATCATCTCGAAGAGACATTCTCTGACTCCTCTCTATGTAATAATTCCCATCATTCTCTATTCTTATTCCCTGCTTTGCTTTTTTATAGCATGTATCACTACCAGATATTCTGTTTTATTTATGTTTTGTGCATTCTCAATAAATAGAAGCTCCATGAGGACAAGGACTTCATTGGTTTTGTTTTGCTACTGTATTTCCAGCACCCAGAACTATGACAGATGCACAGTAGGCACTGTATAAATATTTGTAGTTACAATGAATGAATGAAATATAATAAAATAGTATCAGTCTACATGGCTCAGCTCTCAGTCAACTCTGCAGAAGTCTTTTTTTTTTTTTGAAACAGGTTCTCAGTCTGTTGCCCAGGCTACAGTGCAGCAGTGTGATCGTAGATCACTGCAGCCTCAAACTTTTGGGCCCAAGCGAGTAGCTGGAACTGCAGGCGCATGCCACCATGCCGGGCTAATTAGAAGTCATTTATTTGTTCTCTAAACAAATGTACGGTTGTTGTCGGTTCCAGGATGACTTTCTTTATAGGGATTGGTGGTAAATTTTAAGTAAGTTCTGATGTTATGCGATAGACTTCCAAACTTGCTATTATCCTTTAAATGAGGACAAAAAGGGAAAGGGGGAGAAATAATATACATAATATTTAACTTCGTCTTTTATGAAATAAATAATGACTAAAGATAATCTTCATTCCAAATTGTCTTTGTTCTTGTCTTTGATAATTTAAAAATATGGTAGTAACTGCTCAAGTATCACTTGAAGTCATATATTTATATTGGTTTTGTTGGTTTTCCTATTTATATCTGTTTCTACCTCACCTTTTTTTTAAGAATCCTACTCAAGTTGGAACAGCTCTTCAGGTTTTCCATAATCTTGGAATTTTGAAGGATACTATTATCGGTGTTGTGGATGGATATCGTGCTACTTTAAAGGAAAATATCAACAGTGCATTAGACATCAAAGTTTTGACTCAGCCTTCCCAGTCAGCTGTGAGAGGTATGGATGTAATTTATATTTAGCTGCTTTATTTATTTATAACTGAGAAGTCCTTTGAATAGTATATGAAACACTCGTGTTTCAAAGCAATCTAATGACTCATTTTTAGTAGACAGAAAATGAGAGAAGAAATTATGTTTTAGAATTTATTTATAGCTTTTATGTCTAATCAGTGAGTTGAACTGGCCAATCGGTATATTCAGAACTTCTTGATAAAGATCTATAAACTGTGGCATCATTTAGTTGAGAGGAAACAGATGCCAAAAAAAAAAAGGAACATATTTTTCTTCTAAAATCCTTATCCTCACATGTACTTCTTTTTGAGAGAGAAAACATTTTTTAAGGAATGCCATCTCTACCTTAGCTTTCTGGACTTTTCCTTAAGGTAATTCTGGTACTCAGACAGTACAGACAGAAACTGATAAACCCTTTGGAAACATGACAGCTGTAGCAAAGTCTAAAGAAAACTACCGAAGGAAAGTACATTCAAGGTGGAGAGGAGTAGCCCTACCTCAGCAGTCTGTAACCCTTTTCCTGCCAAGACTTAATCTGTTGGTGATATTTACATACATAACACACTTCTCCACAGAAGATAGAAAAGACCACACATTATGTGCACCTGTCACCTACTCGCTGCAACTCCATGTCTTCATTTCCCCCCTTATATTCTTCATTCTTCTCTCTTTTCAGTATGGATGAACTGTGCTTTCTCCCAGCAAAGACCAAACAGTCTACATTTGCATTAGATCTCAATCCCCAGGTATTCCTTCAGCAAATAACTTCTCTCCACCACGTTGTTAATGTTTCTTTCTTTGCATCTCTTTCCCATCACATTCAGTTGTATTGTATCTTCTTCTGTTTAAAAACAATCAAATCTATCTTGACTTCATTTCTTTCTTTAGCTCTACTATCCCGTTTTATTTCTTTGTTCTACAGAAAAAATCCCCAAAGTCTTATCTTAGTGTTTCTGATTTTTCTCTTCCCATTTTTCCATTGAAGGTACTCTAATCATCAAAGCGTTGTCCTAAAGAATAAATGAAATAACCCATGAGGAATTTATAACAGTTCCTGATAAATGGCTAACATTAAAAAATATTGCAGCCATTTATTGTTTTTTACATTTGCTATTTAAATTTGACCTTAAATAACACTGAATATCTGTAACTCATAAATAAGTTGCACTAGATAAAAAGAGATAAAAGAATCTTAGGTCTTAAAGAGATTTTTAAAGGTTAGCCCTAGCCTCTGAACAGGTCTGTATTAAGACTATTCCAGAAGGAAATCTTTGAAAAGCAATTGCCAAAGGAGATTTTATTCTCAGCTTTTCCCAGCAATTATTCTCAGAAAGTTTGATCTAATGTTTAAATTTCCAGGAGCAATTTAATCTCATTCCCTCTTGTGTTGTCAAGAATAGGGAAAAAAAAATGAAAGTAATTATTCACCTGCTGTCAATCCTAATGTACGCTTCTTTTGTTGAAAGAATAAAGAATTTTAAAGCTGCCTTATTATCATCTGTTGAGGAGTGGATACCATGATTTAATGTAGAAACCTTAAGCATCAATTCTTTATAATTTTCTTTAAAAGAATAATCA